GAATTCCCCAGCCAGCATTCGCTGGCTGGGGAATTCTGGGAGTTGAAGTCCGGACATCTTCAAGTTGCCAAGGTTGAGAAACACTGCATTAAGCAGTCTTACCTTGGGCCCAGCAGCCACCTGAGCTTCAATAGCCTCCATCTTCTTCCACAATCGCCTTTGTCTTTGTTCCTTATTTTTCAGATGGTCCATTTTCCCCACTTGCTTATTAAGATCGGGCTTGCTTCCTTGGGAATAACTCCTCCTCCATCCACCAAATCCATCCCAACTCCTCTTCTCTGCCCAGAGAAGCAGACGGCAAACAACGGACATATTCCGATGGGAGGCAGAATTAAGATGGGCTGAAGGCATGTTTGAATATAGGTGTGCTCAGTCCTCTTGCACATGTGTAGAAAAAAGCACGCCGCCTTTCTCCCTTTGGTTCCAAACACACATGCTTCCAATAGTCACTTTTCCATCCCTTATAATGCTGATGGAGCCTATAGAAATAAATACCAAAGAAATCATATAAATTAAGGTTACACAAAAGGTTGGGGGCCACTGGTCCAGATCAGGAAACAGACCCTACAAGTTTAAAAAAAAACACTAAGCTTTGTTGAGTTAAGACTTAGGAATGGAATCTTGCTAGTCCACTGATATTTTCTCTTCCCATCCTCTTACACTCCTAGAGTTAAGGGGGAACCAGACTAATAATTGTTTTCCTTTCCCAGGACTTAAGGCAGACTTCTGTCCTTTTTTTCATTTTGCAATCTCTTTTATATGGCTCCCTGAAGACCAGGGGTGTCAAACTTGATTTCATTGAGGGCAGCATCAGGGTTGTGTTTGACCTTGGGGGACCAGGTGGGCATGGCCAGGGTGGGTATGGCCATCTCAACGTCACTAGTGTTGGGGGCGTCTGTGGTGGCCCCATCACTCTGCCAACTCCATTTGGGCTCCTAAGCCCATTTTCCCTGGCAGAGGCACCACGGGCTGGTCCTTTGCTGTTTCCAGGGCAGCCCCGTGAGCCAGATCTAAGCACCCCACAGGCCAGATCCGGCCCCCAGGCCTTGACCATCTCCATGGCTCTGTACATCAATCAAAAATACATCCTGTATCACCTCTCTCTACTAAATGTTGCCCTTGTCATCTGGGTGTCCTTGAAGACGCCCTAAAAAGAATGCAAATAACCAGCTGTCTGCAAGGAGTATAAATCCTTTCATTCCCCTCAATCCAGTCAGAGCTGAAGAAGCTTCTTGGATGAGAAGCAAAACATCTTCAGAGAAAAGCAAGAAAGTCCAGTTGCCTCTTGAAAAAGCACCTTTGCGATAATAAGATTTAGTTGTGTGGGAGAAAGAGGGAGGAAAGAAAAGGATAGGGAGAGAGAGATTTATTTTTTCCCTTCAAAATCTATCAAAGTCTATAACAGGTAGCCCCAGTAAACAGCTGCATGATCTGAGGGCGTAACTATAATTATATGGAATTATCATGCATTACTTTCTTACCCTAAAACAGTGTTTCTTAAACTTTATTCTGTCGGGATCCCTTTCCACTTTTAAAAATTATTTTACTTTGAGGACTTCAAAATAAACTTTTGTTTGTAATTGATATTAATTGATATCCATATCAATTTGCTGCCACTACTACATCTCAGGATTATTTGATGAGACTTTAATATTGTACTATTTTTCAGCATAGGCTGCCAAATCGTTTCGATTTTCCAGATCGCTCAGGGGGTCGTCTAGGGGTTCTCGGACTACACTATCCTAAGTCAATCATTTCAAGTTCCTATATTTATTTATTTTCATCAAGAATGTATCAGACAATATATATACCATATTTTTCGGAGTATAAGTTGCACCTTTTTCCCTCAAAAAAGAGGCTGAGAATCTGGGTGCGTCTTATACAC